CCGGACCTCCCACCTGCCGGGTGGCAGCCTGTGTCTCCACACTGGGCATTGCCAAGGCCCAGCCCCTGGGAAGGAGCATGCGGCTGGGTACGAGTCCTGCCGTCGGGTGGAGACTGGGCTCAGGCTCCCCGCTCTGTCCTGCAAGCTCTGCTACCCTCCCAGGGGACAGGTGCCCTCCTGGACCCCGTGGGGGACACTGAGAAGGGTGTGGTGTGCTCCCTGCCCTCCAGGAGCAGCTGCCAGAACCTGGAGCAGGGAGGTGCCCACCAGACCCCCCATCCCCTTCCCTCCCCTCCCCAAGCTTAAAAGTGGGTTGTGAGCAAACTGGACTTGTCCATGAGGAAGCCAGGTTGGTGGTGAGAGGATGCAAAAGTGTGTCTTGTGAATATTCAGAAGGAAGATGAGAAGGCCAGGGAGGGCAGGCCTCAGCCTCCAGACACAGGGCAGCTGTCAGCGGGGCGGAAGCACACTCTTCGGTGTCACCTCGGAGGTGAAAATCATCGCGATGGCTGCAGCCTCGGACAGCAGATTCGGCTGAAAGTGAGGAGGGCTTTTCTGGTAGGTCTGTCCAGAGGCGCACCCACTGAGAAAGGCAGCGGGGAGCTCCCTCCCAGAGGTAGGAGTCAAGGTTGGGTCAGGAGTTGATGGGGGATGCTGCACCAGTTGGTCCTTGAATAACCTCTGTCACTGTGAATCTGTGCCACCGAGGGACGAGCTGACAGGAGACCTCATCCAGGCAGGTACAGGGGAGTTAGAAGCGAGGGTTTGCCTGGTGCCCGCAGGAGGTCCCACCCAGGCTCTGGTGGTCATTGTGATCTGAGACCTGGGGTGGGTGGGCTGGGGCACAGAGAGAGCCCAACAGCACCTAGTTCCTCCTCCTCCCTCGCCAGGCTCCCCCCACGCTGTGTCTTAGGACCACGGGAGATGCTGGGTGTGTGAGCCACGAATAAAAATGGCAAGAAAGGTGATACCATTTTCAGCAAATTGACTTCCTGAAGAAAACATTTACACCCGGACCTTGTCATACATGAATAGATTCCCCCATAAGGAATCTTCAAATCTCCACGTGTTAGAAGTAGAGTAGGGCTTGAGAGATTGGCTCAACCAACTTCCGGATTTTACAGACGGGGTCTCCGAGGCCTGAGAGGAAGGCCACACAGCAAAGCCGGGGTGCAAACCCAGGGCCCCTGACTTCAGCGGCGGCTCTTGTCCTGTGTGTTAACTGTCCGCGGTGACGTCTGTGCAGGGATGCGTCCTCTCCTTGGGAGAGTGGGGCCATTTGTGTCTGTGGCTTTAGAGGCAGTTTGCAGTTTTGCAACCATCGGTTCAAACGAGTTCTGCTATTTGAAAAACACACTTTATGAGGACGTTTTCCTGCCAGCAGGAAGTTCGGGTCTGGCCTGGCAAAGGCCAGGTCTCCAGGGGAGTCTTCTCAGGTGTCCAGTGGGGAGTGCTGGAGTGAGGCCAGGGACAGGGGTGACTGGGAGCCTGGCTTCCTCCCACCGACAGCAGATCCCTCGATGCTCCATGTCGTCAGGGGGATGGGAAGATAATCCCCACCTTGATGGTTGCAAGGAGTAAGTTAGCTGAAATATTCAAGGCACCTGGCACAGCTTGGACATGAATGCTGGTTCCCAGGCCCGGCGGTAGATTCGAGCATCAGCCTGCCCGAGTTCGCGCTCCACTCGGCTGCTCGCGACCTCAGCCTCCTGTGCCGGTGACAGACCCCCTGGCTCAGCTTTCTCATCCGCAGTATGAGGATAACAATGGCACCGAGCATATAGGGTTGTGGTTCCAACTGTGCGCCCAGGCACCCCAGGGTGCTGCAGCCGATTCACAGGGGTGCTGTGAGATATTTTTAATCTTCAAGGAAACGCAGTAGTACTGGACGGCCGCCAGCCACTGCGACAGCTACTGCTCAAGACAGCTTCCAGCTTCAGCATTACATCACACTTCTTTCCTTTGGATGGCATCATGGCTCTGCAAAGCTGGGGCTTGGGCATTCGGGAGTGCCCTGCGACCAGCAGTGAGGGGGGCAGTGCCCACTCTGATCCCAAGACTAGAGCACTTACGTGGTGCCTCATTAGTCAGGCAGTCACCGTGGCTTGTTTAGGAATGGACTGCAAGTAATCTTTTACTTTCAACTTCTGTGTATTATTTTTTCAAATGGCTACTAAGGTGTTAGGATGTGCGTGCAGCAGGCGTGCACGCACACATGCACACACACACACACGCACGCACACACACACGCACAGACGCTGTTTAGATCTAACAAGCAGAACCCCTAGGGATTTCTCTTGGCCTTGCAGTAAAAATTTCCCAGAAAAACTACTGGGTAAAAATGACCAAGGCGCCAAAGACCAGAAAGGCGCGGGACACCCTGACGAGGGTGGTGTGGGCTCTGTGAGTTCATACGAAACGCTTCCTGACAGCATCTGGCAGAGAGAGCGCCCAGGAACCCCAGACACTGCTTTTCTCCTCCCTCCACGCTGGCGCCCACGGGCGGGCTCAGGTGGCCCTCGTCTGGGGCACCTGTGGAGCCTCCCTCGGCCGCGAGGCCCGAGCCAGGGCCAGGGAGGCGGGGAAGTGTCCAGCGGTGAGGGCCCAGCTCAGCTGCTACGGCCCCAGTGCAGCCCCAGCCCCCCTGTATTTAATTTGCATTCGCTGAGCACACGCTGCAGGCCAGCCTGCCTGTAGTCTGCCAGTGGTCCCTCTGGGGAGGAATCTGAGGTTGGTCCTTGGTTCATCTTCCTTGTCTCTTGGCAGCATTTGCCTCCCGGAGCCTGGGGGGTGGGGTTGTTGGCAAGGGGGCAGTAGCTACACCGAGAGCCACCGCACTGCCATGACAGAGAGGTGCTGAGGAAGACGCCCAGCCATATTCCTGCCAAGGCCGGGAATGAACCTTAGTGCCAGGGCTGAGCGGAGGGGTGGGGCAGGGAGGGCGGGGCCTGCTGCACTAATGGATGTCTAATGTTTAAATGTTTACTTTCCCCGGTCGTGTCTGTGCCAGCTTTATAAATAAGCCGCATTAGGGTTATAAAACTGTCATAAACGCAGCCCGCAGGGCCGCAGCCAGCCAGGGAAGCGATCACCTGGGGGCCACGTGGTTAGAAGGCAGGGTGAGCACACAGCTGCACCCAGGGGCGCCCGCACACCTCCTCTCGTGGTCACCACCCCTAGAGGGAGGTCCAGTCTCCCCCGTTTCACAGATGAGGCGCCTGAGGCCAGTCAGGCCTGGTTCAGACCCTGGGGTACCTCCCACTAACAGGTGACCTCGGGCAAATCCCTGCCTCGCACACCTCAGGCCTGAGGCTGAACAGGATGCTGGTGGTGGGAGGCGGGCATGGAGCCTGCGGGTTCTCTGCTGCCCACCTGCCCTCTTGTCTCCAACCTGCTCTCCCTAGAGCTGCCTGCCTGGCAGAAAGGCCACAGTGACAGCTCTCAGGCCACTGGGAGACCATGTCCAGCTCGCTGGGCACTGTTATCTTACCACCAACTGCCCAAGCTGCCAGGCCCTAGGAGGCTACCGTGTACCTACAGAGAAGGGTCTCCCTGCCTGGCTGAGGGAAGTGAGAATCAGGGAGCCCTGACCTGGCCTCAGGATGCTCACTGCTGCTCCCACGAACCAGCTGACCGTGGGGCAGTCACTTGCCTCATTTGGATCAGCTTCCGTGTCCACAGCTTTGAAACAGGAAGGGGGCTTTTAGCCTCGCTGGACCTGTGGTGAGAGAACCCCCACAGTTGTAGAGTCCCGGCCAATGTCTGGGTCTGTTTGGATTCTCAGGGAACACACCAGTGCATGCAGCTACTCCAGTGATGGGCAGTGTGGAGTCCTGGGCAATGTCCTAACACTGAAGTCTGATTCTTGGGTTCAAACTTTGGCTGTGCCTCTTGCTTGCTGTGTGCCCTTGGGCAAGTGGCTTAACCTCTCTGGCCTCAGTTTCCCCATTTGTAAACTGGGGACTAATATAACACGCCTTACAAGAATTAGGTACATTTTCAATTAAATATGTTTTCAATTAAGTATTGAAAACATAGCAGCTAAAAAAAAAAAAGAAAGAAAACATAGCAGCTAATGTGGGGTGAGCATCAGTTGTGTTTTTAATACAGTAACTTGTACCTCTATGTGCTCGGCCCCTCCTCCGCACACATGTATGGTTATCTCATAGGACCTGCCCTCTTCGAGATGAAGTAACTAGGTTGGAGTTAAGGGGCTCTCCCTAGGTCACCCACAGCATACTGGATGGAGCTGAAGTCTCACCCCTTCTTGCTGGCTTTTCCTTCTCTCCTCCTGGGGTCAGTCCATCTCTCTCCCGCCCCTTTCCCCATTTCTCTCTCTCTCTCTCTCTCTCTCTCTCTCTCTCTCTGTCACACACACACACACAGCCTGGAGCCCATGTCAACCCAGCATGTTCTCTGAGCTCCTGAAGCGCCTGGTCTTAGCAGGAGCTGCTGGTGCACAGTCAGCGTGGCCTGGGCATGTGAGGTGTGATTGGTTCCTTCTGGAGGACAAGGGCCGGTCCCAGGGCGCCGGGGTGCTGGGCCAGGGATGATAGCTGGCTGGTGAGGGCGGGGCAGGCCTGGGCACCCCTGCAGCGTAATGTGTGCGTCCTCTGGAGCAGTTAGCAGAGGAGGACAAGCCCCCTACCGCGTGTCCCAGCCACCTGATCGCTTGGCACTTGGCAGTGGAAAGTCAATTTTCCTAAGTGGATTGTGAACCAAGAGCCTGGCCCCATCCTAGCGCTGGGTGGCTGGCTGCTCTCCCTTCCTGTTTGTCTCACCTCCTGAGGTGCTGTTCTTTCCAGGGAGGTGGGCAGCCAGGGTTTCCTTTGGCCCATCAGGGAAAAGATTGACAGCCGCAGTGTGTTCCCGCCTCTGACGTTCCCTCACCCTTAGGGCAGAGGGACGGACTTGGCCAGGTGAGAGAGGCTAGGATCAGAGCCCCAGACCGGAGGGGGGAGACTCGGTGTGGAGCTGCTGGGGAGGCAGTCTCCCTCTCCATGCTGCCCCCTGGCTTGGACTTCCTGGAGGAGGAGGCCCACCGGGCTGCACCAGGGAGCCCAGGCCTGGTGCAGCCGCCCCACCTCACCCACCCAGCACCCCGCGGCTCTTGGCTCTTCTCCCCACTCCTATTGCCCGGCTGGCTGGGGCTTCGGGGCAGAGCTGGCCTGTTTGAGTTCCGGCCTCAAACGTACTATGGTATCACCGTGGGAAACTGGAGGAAGGCCGGCGAGGGCTCGTGCAGGGGACACGGGAGGGCTGGAGGGCCTCAGGGGTGCCTCGCCTTGATGGGTCCCCTGCCTGCTCCAGGCCACCCCGATTTCTCCGTCTGTACGGAAGATCACACACAGCATCGTGGAGCGGGGACTGGCTCCACAGCAGAGCCTCCTGTCGGCAGGGCAGGATGGGGAAGCTGAGGCGCAGGGGAGCCAGACTTTGCCCGGGTCACAGAGGGCACCTCCTGCATCTCCAGATGCCCCCTCTGTCTGCCAAGGGCTCCTGGGCGGTCAGTGGGTGCCCTGGCCTCCTCAGCCTTCAGCCTCACAGAGCCTTCCTCCCTCCACAGGCACTGATTCCGGCAGCGAGGTGCTCCCTGAGTCCTTCCCATCGGCGCCGGCCGAGCCGCTGCCCCACTTCCTCCAGGAGCCGCAAGACGCCTACATCGTGAAGAACAAGCCGGTGGAGCTGAGCTGCCGCGCCTTCCCTGCCACACAAATCTACTTCAAGTGCAACGGCGAGTGGGTCAGCCAGAATGACCACGTCACGCAGGAGGGCCGGGACGAGGCCACGGGTGAGCCGCCCCACCGGCCTGGTCACGCCCAGGAAACCAGGGACACCCCCCACCCAGAGGTGTCGGGGACACTGGGTCCTGGGCTTCACCACCCTAGACCCTGTGTGAGACTTCAAGCAGCCATGGCGCCCCTCTGGGCCTCAGTTTCCCTTCTGGTCCACCCTGGGTCAGTATTTCCCAAGGGTTGGCCGCTCACGTTGGGTGGTCAAATGAAGTGGCACCTAATCCCTCGCCGAGCTGAGCGCTTGTTCCCTTTCCCAGTGTCTTCCCATCCTGCTCAGCTCGGGGAGCAAGTCTAGCCGGAGGCCAGGGTTCCTCACCAGCACCAGCCAGGGCTCTGCCTCCTGCTCCCCTCTCCTTCAGTGTGGGCTGCACCCTAGCACCCCCACTACGATTATTTACTAAATATCGACCCTTTAAAACGAAAACAATTCATTTCTATGAAGGAAACGCTGTCATTGCTGGGAATGGAAACTCCCACTCCCACAGAGAAGATCTGTGGCACGGGGATGGTCTAGAACAGTGGTCGGCAAACTGCAGCTGATGAGCCACATGCGGCTCTTTGGCCCCTGGAGTGTGGCTCTTCCACAAAATACCACGTGCGGGTGCACACGTACAGTGCAATTGAAACTTCGTGGCCCATGCGCAGAAGTCGGTATTTTGTGGAAGAGCCACCACTGGACTCCAGAACCCTGCCTCGGTACGGCCCAGGCCGGGGCTGCCGGACTGAGCCGGCTCCTCTTCGTTAGACAGGGTGCGCGGCCAGTGCTGGTCACTGCAGGCCACCGTGTGGGGCAGCCCCAGAACCCAGGCCCAAGCGGGCTCCCCGGCCCCAGTGCCTGCCTCGGCTTTTGTGTTCGCGTTTCTTCCTTGATCCGTTTCTTTCTCCTGCTTGTCTAGCCCCCTCTTATTTCCATCTGCGTCCCACCTCTCCCTTCTGATCCCTGTCTCTGTCTGTGTCTTTTTTCCTTATGCTCCGCCCCGCCCCCCCCCCCCCCCCCCCCCCCCCCCGCCCCACCCCCACCTTTATTCTTCCTTTTTTTTCTCCTTCTCTCGTTCAGCCTCACTCTCTATGTGTCTCCCCTGACATTCTTTCTCACTCTTCTTTTTTCTCTCTTTCCCAGCTTCTGTTTCTCTATGAAAAGCTCTCACATTTCAGAACCACCCAGGCTTAAAACTATACCCCATAATGTACTTAATATCACGGAACTAAAAATGATTAAAATGGTTAAGTCTTATATCATGTATATTTTGCCAAACTTTTAAAAGAACATTTAAAAATAGACCTGGAGTTGCATTCTTACCCCAAATCTAAAAATAAAAAAAGCAATTTTTAAGAGACCAATAATCTATGCCAGCTACCCCCACTGTCCGGGTGCGTGATCCTGGGGGAGCCACCCGGCCTCTCTGAGCTCATCCCCTCCTTCTGGACTGGGAGTTGCTGGGAGGTCCTGGTGAGACCCGCACAGCACTGAGCATGCAGGACCCAGACATGCCTTTTCCTCCGTCCTCTTCCTGTAAAACTTGGCCTTACTTCTCTGTCCTCCTGAGCCCCTCCGGCTGGTATCAGAGGTCAGCCGTGGGGGTCCAGGCAGAGCAAGGGGACAGTGTGCCCTGCTGGGGACCCTCACAGCCCCTGCGATTATTAGTAATAGTAGCAGCATGGCTCTTACACTCCCACTACCAGGCGCATAAGCCCAGCCAGCCCTAGAAACTGGGGCACTGTTGTCCCATTAGCTGCAAAGAATGGACAGAGGTCCCGTGGGCCACTCCCCTGGCAGCCGTGTGGCCGGTTCTAATCGAGCCTCCTGCTCCCCACCCCTGGCCTTCCGTGGCCTTCCTGAGGCCCTGACAACACAGAGGAGGACAGGTCTGGGCCAGGAGAGGTGGGACCGGTGGCAACTCATGCCAGGATGTGGCAGGCAGCCCAGTTCCGTGTCCTCACCGAGGCACTGCCTGCCAGGCTGCCATCATACTGGGGGCGCGGGGGAGCACCTGGTGCTGAGGCCCAAGTCTAGGAGACCAAAGGCCCCATCATCCTCTCTGCTTGCCGGGACCATGACCAAGGTGTCAACCTGCCCGGGATGATGGTTTCCCTGTCCAGCTGGTGGGTGTTGCCGAAACCTTTTGAATGGATGGGCCCCTTGAGAGGAAGCACTGGGAAGGGCTGGCCCACCACCTGGACACAAAGGGCCGGGCCCTGCTCCCCGGCCGCGGGCCACGCAGCATCACTTGTTGGGCCAGCAGGCCAGGCAGCCACTGCGAGCGAGCAGAACCCCTCCCTCCCACCTCAGAGCGGCCTCTTCCCTCCTGCTGCTCCCAGCAGCAAACTCTAGCCCCTCCCATGTAGGTCCCTGGCTATCGAGGGGCTCCCCAGGGTCAGCCCCTCCCCCTGTGAGGCAGGAGAGTTAAGGCAACGACTTTATTGGGAGAGGTCCAGAGAGACATCACGTTTAGGACAGAGTTCTAACCTGGCAGGACACCAAAAGCACTGATCTCAGCTCTCCCGGCAACTTGCTGTGGGCCGTCGGGCCTGCCCCCGACCCTTTCTGAACCTCAGTTTCTCCAAATGTACAAGGAAGGGCTGGGTGAGGTCCAGATGAGCCTGAGCTGTGTGCTGTGGCCCGGCAAGTGCCATGATTCATTTAGCATTTACCCTGAGTGTTTTATTGTGATGAGGGACCTGAGGCTCAGAGAGGCTAGTAACTTCGTGAAGGTCACAGAGCTGGGGAGGGAGGGTAAGGCCAGGATTCAAACCTGTCCATCTGTCCAGCTTTGTTTAACCCCCATGTCACAGTATTGCATGTGTACAGGCGACAGTCCTGCCCTCAGGGGGCTTATTAGAACCCATGTGCAGCCATGAAAGTGTGAGCTGGGACACATGGCACGGAGGAGCAGCTTTAGGGATTCTGGGGCAGGGGAGTCTAGGAGGGCTTCCTGGAGGAGGAGGTTTCAGAGTTCTCACACAAGCTTTGGGGAGGAGCCTCAGACAAGCACCCTCATCCAGGAGGGCTCACTTTTTTTTCCTGAGCCTAGAAGGCTTTGCCAAGGGAGAATTGGCAGAAGAGTGAGTGATTCCCTCTCTGTGGGCTAGTGGGTGCAGTTATCCAAGGAGGCCTTCAGGTCCTGACAGGGAGCCAATGAGAGGTCAGGGGGCTCCCAGGAAGAGGGTCACATCAATAAATGATGCTGTTCCAGACCGTGGTGGATGCTGTGGGGAAACCAGGCTGGCAGGAATGACAACCAATGTCTGGTGCAGTGGTCGGGGCACTGAGTAGTACTTTGAGAGCCGTGGGCATGGGCCAGGGTCAGGGGGCTTCCCTCCAGAAGTGAGGCCCCGCCCAAAGCTGACTGGGAGTTCAATGGACACAGGACAGAAGGGAGTTCCAGGCAGGGTACTGATGTGTAAAGAGCCTGTGGCTAGAGGGGCCAGGGTAACACGAGGGTCTGGAGGATGCCCAGGGAGGCTGTAGTGAGTAGATAGCGCAAGGCCTGGGGGCCAGATGGAGGGCCGGGTCTTCACGCTGAGAGGACTGGAGACGTAACCAGGGGAATGACAAGCCATTGTGGATTCGGAGGAGCCCACGCTGGCTGCAGGGGGGGAGCGGATTGGATGGGGAGAGATGGCCTGTGTTAGCCATTGCCATTTTCCGGTGAGCTGCAGTGGTGGCTGGGGTCAGGGTGGAGCAGAGAGATGAGAAGATGATGGAAATGAGAGGCACTTGGCAGACGAGCCAAGAGGACTCTGGGGTGGAGAAGAAGACATGTCATGGTGCCCTGTCCTGTGTCCTGTGTCCTCAGACCTGCCCCCTGACCGTGTCTCTCCTCCTCCCAGGCCTGCGGGTGCGAGAGGTGCAGATCGAGGTGTCCCGACAGCAGGTGGAGGAACTGTTTGGGCTGGAGGATTACTGGTGCCAGTGTGTGGCCTGGAGCTCTGCGGGCACCACCAAGAGTCGCCGGGCCTACGTCCGCATCGCATGTACGCCGCCCTGACATGCCCCTCCACACACCCCAGTCCCTGGGCCCTTTCCCCTTCCCTGTGGGTCCTGGAGAGGGAGCTCCACTGCCGTGGGGGGATCTAGCTGAAGACGCCCACCACAGAGACGTCAGGGCCCGTGGACGCCAGCCAGAAAGGGCTTCTAGACCCAGAACCTGGGCCCCTCTGGCCCACAGATTTCACCACATCTAAATAAGGAAGCTGCCAGCTTTCTCGCCATTCCAGGCCATGGGGAGGGAACTGTTTCCGCAACTCCACCTGGTCAGGCCCCCATTAGAGGAGAGGCTATTCCTCTGTAAAAGCCAGGTGTCCCCACGACCGTTCCCTTGGTGTGCACTGCCACCTCGTGGCTAGAATGGGGAACTGCAGCCTCCAGACTGTGCCTTGTCCCCTCCCTCTTCCCAGATCTGCGCAAGAACTTCGACCAGGAGCCTCTGGGCAAGGAAGTACCCCTGGACCACGAGGTTCTCCTGCAGTGCCGCCCACCAGAGGGGGTGCCTGTGGCTGAGGTGAGTGGGGACATGGAGGACGCTAGGCATGGCAGAGGCCAGTGGGCATGGCATTTACCAGCAGCCATGATATGATGCCTCAGGCTCCCAGAGCCTCCCCATTTCACAGAGGAGGGAACTGCAATCTTCACAACTCAGCACACGCCACACCCCGGCTGGGCCCTCCGCAGGCGCAACCCCATGGGGTGCAGTAGAGCTGGGGCAGGAACCCCCAGGACTCTTTGGGTCGGCTGCAGGCTGTACACACCACCTCCCCCGGCTCCACCCAGGGGTCATCTTAACCATTGTCTTCTGTGGTGTTCCGTGGATGCCTGGCTGGTGGAGGCCCCGCCTCACTGCGTCCCCCCCGGTGCATGGACATGGAGAAAACCGCCGCCCTGCCTATGGTCAGACCTCCCTCACACTCCAGAGAGGGAGCAGGCACTGGGTCCTCATGCCCCTCCACCCTGTTCCTGCAGGTGGAATGGCTCAAAAATGAGGACATCATTGACCCCACCCAGGACTCCAACTTCCTGCTCACCATTGACCACAACCTCATCATCCGCCAGGCCCGCCTGTCAGACACGGCCAACTATACCTGCGTGGCCAAGAACATCGTGGCCAAGCGCCGCAGCACCACGGCCACCATCATCGTCTATGGTGCGGGCCAGAGGGGGGTCAGGCATGGCCCGGGGGTGAGGGTGGGGGGCAGCCCAGGGCTAGATGGCCACCTGACCCGCCCTACTCAGGACACAGCCGAACCCTGGGCAGCAAGTGAGCAGGAGGAAGCCCACAAGGTTACATAGCAAAGCTAGTGGTCAAGTGAGGCCCCCTGAGTCCCCAGCCAGGAGCACCCACCCTTCTCAGACCCTTTCTGTCCCTGAAGGAGAAGACCCAGCTCTCTCAGAGTCAGGTCTGGGGCACGGCCAGTCGGGATCCCCATACCCTAGCCCAGGGGTCGGCAAACTCATTAGTCAACAGAGCCAAATATCAACAGTACACGATTGAAATTTCTTTTGAGAGCCAAATTTTTTAAACTTAAACTATATAGGTAGGTACATTGTTATTAACTTAATTAGGGAACTCCTAAGGCTTAGGAAGAGCCACACTCAAGGGGCCAAAGAGCCGCATGTGGCTTGCGAGTTTGCCGACCAGGGCCCTAGCCCATTGCCCTAGCAGAGTTAGGGGCTGCTGGCCAGGCCCGTAGGCTCTTCCTTGCTGTCCCCTGGGTGGGAGGGGCGGAGCCACACCTGAGATTCCTTGGATGTTGTAGAAAGAACCCCACACTGGGTTCCAGTCCCAGGTCCCCCATCGCTCACGGGAGATCCTGGGTATCCGCTCTCTCTGGACTTCGCTGTGTTACAAGGGGGCGGGGAAGAGACCATGACCGCGAGGGTCCCGGTGCTGAAGGTTGCAGCCAGGCCTGCCTGCTGGTATCTGAGTGCCGAGCCCCGCAGGCAGGAGGGGTCCAGCTAGGAAGGGCCAGCCTCAGCAGAAGACTCGTCAAGGGTGGAGAGATAGGGTGAGGGGGTCCATGGGGCCACAGAGCCAGGCCAATGGGGTGACACCTGCTGCCCCTGCAGTGAATGGCGGATGGTCCAGCTGGGCAGAGTGGTCGCCCTGCTCCAACCGCTGTGGCCGCGGCTGGCAGAAGCGCACGCGGACCTGCACCAACCCCACCCCGCTCAACGGAGGAGCCTTCTGTGAGGGCCAGGCCTTCCAGAAGACTTCTTGCACCACCGTGTGCCCAGGTAAGGCCTCTGGCCGGTGAGACCCTGCCCACATCACGCCCACGCCCAGCCCCCAGCCCTGTCTTCTGCTGTGGTGTCTGCCAGAGTCAGGACGGCCTTTCTCTCCCCGCGTGGGGAACAGCAGGGGCTTGTCCCGGGGCCCACAGCTGGCTGAAAAGGCTGGGCGAGGTGCTACGACCTCTGACCTCTGTTCTTCCCTGGCTGCTGAAGAGACAAGGCAGAGGCTCTGAGCCGAGCTGCGGTCTGAGGGGTGGGCTCTGCTGCCCTCTACGCTGAGGGTGCCAGCCCCCCGGGCCGGGGTCCCAGAGCTGCCCGGGGTTAGGGCGCCTGCACTCCTGTACTTGACTGTCAGGCACACCATGGCTGCTGACCCCGATCCGCTTCTCCTTTTGTCTTTATGTGACTGCCTCTCCATCTGTGTGTCTGTCCTTGCTTGTCTGGCTGTGTGTCCTCTGGTTACATGTTTCTGGGAGTGGTGTGGCATTTACTGGGTTTGTATCCTTGTGTATGTACTTGTGCGTTGGGCTGCCTCTGTGTGACTTTATGCATCTGCTTGTGTTCTCTTTGCCCACGGGCACACCTGGCTCTGCATTGGTCTGGGGCTGTGTGGGTGTGGCATGGATTTCTCTGTATGGCCTGTATGGTGCTTTGTGTTCTATGCACGTAACGGTGTGTGTGTGTATGTGTTCTCATGTGCCATGTGCTGTGCTCCTGTAGTGGATGGAGCGTGGACAGAGTGGAGCAAGTGGTCAGCCTGTAGCACCGAGTGTGCCCACTGGCGCAGCCGAGAGTGCATGGCACCCCCACCGCAGAACGGAGGCCGAGACTGCAGCGGGACCCTGCTCGACTCCAAGAACTGCACCGACGGGCTGTGCATGCAGAGTGAGTCCTCGGGAAGACGGATAAGGGACCCCCAGCCGCACCCCCAGGCCTCAGTGCCCAGCCTGCAGCGGAACAGCCCCTCGGGGCCTCTGCCCACCCACCACATCCATCATCTCATCCGGGCCATTCTCCGTCACCGTCTCTACTACCTTTCCCTGCCACCTGTGTCATTGTCTTTCCCTTTATTTCCCTCAACAGATAAGAAAACTCTAAGTGACCCCAAAAGCCACCGTAAGTCCCATTTCATGGCTGTCCTCTTCCTCTGGGGCTCTCCTTGGCTGGCCTTTCCAGGGTGTGGGGGGCCGCAAGGGGTAGGGGAAGGTGCCTCCCCGCCCACCCTCCCCGGGGTTCCTAGGACCCGCTGTAGGTGTCACACCTCCATTATACAGAGATAGGCAGACCCTGGCTGACAGACAGGCCCTGGGCATCATCTTGACCCTCACAATACAGGACAAGAAGCTAAATCTGAGAAGGCACTTACCCAGAGACCCAGCCAGGTTTGAACTGGATGTTTTCCTGGCAAATCTGCTGCTCGCAGCCCCATCCCCTTGGCCTCTGCTCGGGACCAGGGCCAGGGGGCAGGCCCACACCTGTCCATCACGGTGCCCCACTCTGTCCCCCAGCAGCTGGCCAGAGCCTTCCCAGGTCCCTGGGCTGCCTTCAGCCCCGAGGGCTTGGCCTCTAGCCCCCAGGGGCTGCGCTGCATTAACTCAAGAGCAGTAAAGCCGCCTGGGGAGATTGGCCTGTGGTAATGAAACCACAATTTCCAAATAATTCTGGAGTCATAAAATCAGCAGTGAGCCCCTCCCGCAGTTCACTGGGGGCCGAGCTGTTGACTGATTAGAAAGTGTAAATCTCCAGGCCAGTGGCCCACTGGTTAGCGGGAGTCAGGAGGCAGAGCCCAGCTCTGGGAGTAGAAGCACCCGAAGGGGTGGGGGTCCTGAGGCCAGCGGGGGTACCAGAAGGTGCGAAGTGGGCGGGCACGGTGCCCTCCTGGAACTCCCACAGCCATGATCTTGGTTCTGCCTGTGCTGTCCAGTATGGCTCTTTAAACTTACATTTACCTCAATTAAAGTAAATATATTTAGAAATTCAGTCCCTCAGTCTCACTGGCCACAGTTCAGTGGTTCAGTGGCCACATGTGGTTGGTGGCTGTTGTGTGTAGCAGCACAGACATAGCGTGCCTTCATTCATCATCATGGGAATGCTGTTGGCCAGCCCTCCGTTAGTCCCTGAGTCCTGACCTGACCCTTGCCTGCCCGGCTGTGCGGAGTTATTCCAGTGTGCAGCAGCCTGCCCTGCCCCCACCAGAGCGGGTGTCCTCCAGCCCAGTGGCCGGCCTGGGGGAGGGGAGTGTAGCCAACAGTCACCTCTCTGAGCCCCTTCCTTCGCCTCCACCTGCTCACCTCCTCTCCACCCCATTGCCCTGCATCTCATTCCCCTCCACCTGCTCCCCCTCCTGCCCGTCCACCTCCACCTCCCACCCCTCAGCACAGAGCGGGAGCCGGGTGGGTCGGCACCACCACTTGCAAACATTGGGGGAGCCTGGCCCTCTGGTCCTCTGGATGTTTGCCACGGGCTGCAGGGGAGACTCTAGTTTGGATCCCAGCTCCAACAGGACAGACTGTGACCCGGTGCCTGAGCCACGGACCCTGGCTCCTCAGCAGTGAGCAGTGAATTACTCCTGGGAGTGACAAGTCACGTTGCCTCTCCTTGCCCCACTGAGAGGGGAGCAGGCCAGAGCTTTTGAGACCATTTTACATATAGAGACTGGTGCTCAGAGAGATTCAAGTCTTGCCTGAGGTCACCAGCCTGTCGTGGCTGGGATGGGACTAGAACCCAGGCCCTGCCCCTCCCTAGGGACCCCAGGCCCCCCTGGCTCCCCCAGGCTGGGCGTCTGCCCCTACCCGGTCCTCACACAGCCCTCCCGTCCTGCAGTCGTGGAGGCCTCGGGGGACGTGGCGCTGTATGCCGGCATCGTGGTGTCCATCCTGGTGGTGGTGGCGGTCCTCATGGTGGTGGCGGTGGTGGTGTACCGCCGCAACTGCCGTGACCTGGACACTGACATCACCGACTCGTCCGCCGCCCTCACCGGAGGCTTCCACCCCGTCAACTTCAAGACTGCGAGGCCCAGTAAGACCTGGGGGACACCTGGTTGGCAGGTGGGGACAGGGCACCCAGCGGGGTGTGGCAGACAGACTCCCTCCTGGGGTCCAGAGTTTGTTCTAGAGCTGACTGTGCGGGTTGGTTTGGATTTGAGAGATGCAGAAAAGGGGAAAAGGGGTGACCCAGCCTGGTGGGTCCCCGAAGCCTTTTGCAGCTGGACATTTGGGTGGGGTTTTGCAACAGGTGGGTCCCTGGCAGGAGCGGAATGTGGGGCTGGGCCGGTGAGGCATGTCTGGGTCTGACTGCAGCCCCGCCTCTGCAGACCACCCACAGCTCCTGCACCCTTCTGTGCCCCCCGACCTCACTGCCAGTGCCGGCATCTACCGCGGGCCCGTGTACGCCCTGCAGGACTCGGCCGACAAGATCCCCATGACCAACTCGCCCCTGCTGGACCCCCTGCCCAGCCTCAAGATCAAGGTCTACAGCTCCAGCACCGCCGGCTCCGGGTCAGGCCTGCCAGATGGGGCTGACCTGCTGGGGGTCCTGCCGCCCGGCACGTATCCTGGCGACTTCTCCCGGGACACCCACTTCATGCACCTGCGCAGCGCCAGCCTCGGCTCCCAGCAGCTCCTGGGCCTGCCCCGGGAGCCGGGGAGCAGTGTCAGCGGCACGTTTGGCTGCCTGGGCGGGAGGCTCAGCATCCCCGGCACAGGTGGGTCCCTCTCTGCTTGCCTGTCAGCGTGGCCTTGGCACATCCCCTGGACAGCCCAGCACCCAGCAGAAGATAGGCCTTCCCGGAGCCCATTTCACAGACGGGGAAAGAGAGGCCCAGGGGGAAGAGGTGACCATTAAATAGAAGGCCTGGGGCCGAAGCCTGTCTCTGCCTCACTATGGCAGGGGACCCTTGGCCCAGCCATGCTCTAAACCTCAGTTTCTCTATCTGTTAAGTGGGGAGAATGCCCCATTGTAATTCAACGGAACTACAGTGCTGTCCTAGGTTCTGGCATAAGGAAGGGCAGAGGTGCCCATCTCAAGGTTGCAAAGCCATTAGTTAACAGCTACCCAGCGTCATGCCCAAGGCTGGAGGCAGCACTGGGACCTTCAGAAGCCAGGTCTTTGCCCATCTCTACACCCCATTGCAGCGCCAGGGGCCCCTGTGTTACTGACAAGCCCTCTGGCCAGTGGCCGGGCCTCTTGTTGATCCCAGGCTCCAGACCTTCTCTCCCATCCCCTGCTGGTGACCACCTGTTCGAAGCTCCTGGACTCCCTTCAACCCCTCCCTGCTGACCTCCCTCTCCCCCTAGGGGTCAGCCTGCTGGTGCCCAACGGAGCCATCCCCCAGGGCAAGTTCTACGAAATGTACCTCCTTATCAACAAGGCAGAAAACGCCCTGTGAGTAGAGACCCCAGCCCTGGCCCGGGTTGCCCCCTGCTCTTCCTCTCTCCCTGCTGCCTGTTTAGCCTGGGCCCAAACACCACCTTCTCCCTTCCTGAGCCTGATCCTAGGCCAGAGCCAGTCCTCCAAGGAAAACACTGCTAGATCTTATGTCCACATCCAAAACGTGCAGAACCAGCACAACAAATCATATAACTCGAAAGGCAATTTACAAGCCAGCTACAATATGACAAAAGGCTAATCTCCTTACTATGCAAAGAGGTTTTAGAGACCAATGAGGAAAATTTAACACCTCAGTACAAAAACGGGCAAAGGATATGAACAAGTGATTTACACACACTCTTTGTTATGCACACACACACACACACACACACACACACTGGCCAATAGGTTATGAGAAATTGTTCAACCTAATTTGTAGTCCAATAGTAGCTCAAACAGCCATGAGATATGGGGAGTTTTTTTTCTTCATGAATTCATAAAGATTTTTTTTTTCCAAACAAGAATGCCTTCATGCCGGCAAAAGTGTGGCACGCAGCCCGCCATGGCATGCTGGCAGGAGTGTAGAGCGGTACCAGCTTCCCAGAGGACAGTTGAGCAACACCATTAAAACACTCCACCAGGCCCTAGCTGGTCTGGCTCAGTGGATAGAGCGTCGGCCTGCTGACTAAAGGGTCCCGGGTTCGATTCCAGTCAAAGGCACATGCCCAGGTTGTGGGCTCGATCCCCAATAGAGGACATGCAGGAGGCAGCCAATCAATAACTCTCTCTCATTGTTGATGTTTCTATCTTTCTCTCTCCTGCTCTCTCGGAAGTAAAAAAATATATATTAAAAAACAAAACAGGAAACAAAAAAACTCCACGAGTGCAGTCTTTGAGATGTGAGCAAAGATTTGGCTGTGAGAACATCATAGTGTGATAGCACAAACCTGGAAACAGTCTGCAGGCTATGCCCTTTCTCTGCCTCTCCTTAACCCCTGAACTCTGGGAGCCCCAGGGGTGGAGACCTGCCCTCTGTCACCCCAGAACAGGGACAGAGGTGGGAGCCCAGCACCCCTCTCAGCCCTGGCTGAGCGCTCGGCCTCCCCTCACTGCCGCCTCCTGTCCCCAGCCCACTTTTGGAAGGGACCCAGACAGTATTGAGCCCCTCGGTGACCTGCGGGCCCACAGGCCTCCTGCTGTGCCGCCCGGTCATCCTCACGGTGCCCCACTGTGCCGAAGTCAGTGCCAGCAACTGGATCTTCCAGCTCAAGACCCAGGCCCACCAGGGCCACTGGGAGGTGAGGAGCCACAGCTGGGTCGGGGGGCCGGGCCCACCACCTGAACCTGCCTCCTTTCCCCTGGCCCGGCCTGGATGGACCCTGCACAGCCTTGACTGTGACCTGCCTCCCCACCCCCGACTCTCACCTGCAGGAGGTGGTGACCCTGGATGAGGAGACCCTGGACACCCCTTGCTACTGCCAGCTGGAGGCCAGGTCCTGCCACATCCTGTTAGACCAGCTGGGCACCTACGTGTTCACGGGTGAGTCCTACTCGCGCTCAGCCGTCAAGCGGCTCCAGCTGGCCATCTTCGCCCCAGCCCTCTGCACATCCCTGGAGTACAGCCTCAGGGTCTACTGCCTGGAGGACACGCCTGTAGCGTTGAAGGTAAGGCCAGGCCACAGGTACCCGCACAGCCCTGGCACACTGTAGATACATCACCCCTGGCCAGCCAGCTGCATGGTACCTTCTAGTGTTCCCCTCCCCAAGGCCATGGTATCTTTCAGGCACCCTCCACCATCATCAGTCTCATTCATTCATTCATTCATTCATTCCTCAAACATTGAAATGGCATCAGACTCTGAGATACAGAGGAATCAGGCACATGTCTTGCCCTCGCCAATCTCCAGGCTGGAGGTGGGAGACAGAAAGGCGGTCCCTGATGGTGGTCGTCCAGAGGGCCGAGGGCCAAGGGAGCACCCGCCTGGAAGGGGCTTTCAGGGCCCGGGTTTGGGGAGGGTCTGAGAAGGCTTCCCAGCAGAGCTGGCAGGCTCCAAAGGACGAGTAGGCATGCAGATAGAGGATGAAGGGCATTGCTGGAGGCAGCAGCTTCTGCAAAGACAGGGGTGTCTTTCTGCGGGAACGAAGCCTGCAGAGGGTGTGAGCGTGTGAGGGAGAAGGATGGGGCTGGAGAGACAGGCCGAGCTCAGCTTCCCAGCACTCCTGGGGCCATGCCAAGGGATTTGGAACTTGTCCAGGGGGCAGGGGCATCGACCTGGAGGACACCGGTTCACAGGTGCTCCTTTCCAGCTCCTTTGTCTCCCAGTCTCATGTGACTTGTCTCAAACTCCGAGTTGCCAGATGATGCAACAGAGGTGAAAAGGCCTCGTGGGAGAGTGAGTGTCGCCTGCTGGGACCACTCTGGCCTGAAGTTCCAGGAGGTCCAAATGGGCTGGAGGCTCCTGGGGAATGGCCTGGTGGCCTGGATCTCTTCGTACTGGGCCATTGGCTGATGTCCTGCTTTGCTCAGAGATTGGAGTGGAGATTAAGAGGGATGTTGCCACATTTTGGCACGATGGCATTCGTTGTTACTCAGTCCTGGTCCATCTGTCCATCTGTCCATCCATCCATCCATCCATCCATCTAACTTTCTGCCCATCCCTCTACATACTCTTTCAGTCAACAGTCCCTCTGTCCATCCAGCCTTCACACATCCATCCATTTATTTGCCTTTCCTTCCATCTGTCCTTCTATTTTACAACCATCCATTTGTATATCCATCTGTAGATCCGTCTCTCTGTCTGTCTCTATCCATATCTGTTTATCCATCCATTTATCTGTTTATCCATCCATCCGTTCATCTGTCCACTCATTTATGTATAAATCCATTTATACCTCCATCCCACTATGGTCCATTTATCTAGCCACTTTTTTCCTGTCTGTCTGTCCACATATCCACAAGTAAGCCTTCTGTGAGCATTTACCAAATGCCCAGCCCTGTGTTCAGGTGGGTCTCTGCCCTCCAAGTTTCAGCCTGGTTCCCTCTGCCTGAGTCTGTCCCAACCCCCAAGCTTGCAGCAGGAAAGGGCCCATTGGCCAAGTACGATGGGCTCCCCCTTCCTGTTGCCCCACCCACAGGAGGTGCTGGAGCTGGAGCGGACCTTGGGCGGGTACCTGGTGGAGGAGCCCAAACCCCTGCTGTTCAAGGACAGTTACCATAACCTGCGCCTCTCCCTCCACGACATCCCGCATGCCCACTGGAGGAGCAAGCTGCTGGCCAAATACCAGGTGAGGGCCGGGCTGCGGGATGGGGAGAGCTGGGGCTGGGGTGGGGCACACGTGGGGATCGACCCAGGGAAGACCAGTTCCCCCTCCCAGGCTCTGTTCCCTCCTCAGCCCTGCAGCCTTGCCCCTCCATCTTTGCCTCCCTCCCACCCCCTCTCCAGGCTTCCTCCCAGTCGTGCTTAGGCACACCCCCACCATTGACAGCCACACTCCCCCTCCCACCCTGATCACACTTCCCACACACAGATGTCTTCCACATCATTCTCAAAGAGGCCTTGCCATCCCCGAGAGCACCCAGGCCTGGCAGACAGTCCAAACTTATCTTCGACGGTCACACCCCTCTGCCCCATCCACGTGGGACACCACTGAGTCCATTGGCTTCCCAGCCCCAGGCACACAGGCGCGCGCACACACTCACACACTCACACATTCAGGCTTGTGCCTTCTTCCCTTTCTCAGAGAAGGGCCGTGGCCAGCTCTTCCTCTGCCCCGTTGGGTGGAGAGGCCTGAGCTGCCCCCTGAGAGGTCCCAGCCCTCCCTGCACCGGCCCCCTCACCTCCTCTGCCTTCATTCCCGGAGGCAGGGCAGGCTGGGCTTGTCTCCCTCACCCGCCTCCCTCCTCCCCCAGGAGATCCCCTTCTGTCACATATGGAGTGGCAGCCAGAGGGCCCTCCACTGCACCTTCACCCTGGAGAGGCACAGCCTGGCCTCCACCGAGTTCACCTGCAAGATCTGCGTGCGGCAGGTGGAGGGGGAGGGCCAGATATTCCAGCTGCACACCACACTGGCAGAGGTGAGGCGGGGGGCCGGGGCGGCATGCGCAGCCCATGCTCGCCCACATCTGAGTGGAAACGCCATCTCCCACAGAGACATGCCCCCCCAAGTCTGAGCTGGGACTTGGGCACTTTTGGCCAACGTCTACCATTTGTTGAGTGCCGACCCTGTGGTTGGCATGTTCTGTACCAAGCGACCTACATTTTCTCACTCAAGCTCCACAGCCACCAGGGAAACAAGTCCAGAGATCCCCCGGGAGATGAAAAAGTCGGTTTCAGGGAGGGCAGGTACCATGGACCTGTGTCGGGTCCTTGCTCAGCCCCAGCCTATAGCTGTGCATCCTATAAACCTGGATCGGGGTCCATGAAAGCCAGGCCACCCAGGAGGCAGTGCGGTGGGAAGCCACTGACTGTAAGCCAGGGCCCAGTTCTGCCACCAGTTTGGCATGTGATCATGGCAAGTCACTTCCTGTTCTAGATTTCGAGCTCCTCATGGCTTCCTGATCTTGAGGCTGCATTAGCATCCACCCTGGGCAGTGCATCAGCATGGTGCGCCCCCTGGGGGCTGGGAGGCAGGCATGCAGCCCTGGCCCACAGGAGCTGGCCCTCTAGGGGAGAAGGCCTGTCCGGGGCAGGTGGGGACTGACCAGAGCCTCCTCTGCCCCTCTCACCCTTGCCCCCTGCCCTTCCAGACACCCGCTGGCTCCCTGGACGCCCTCTGCTCTGCTCCCAGCAGCGCACTCACCACCCAGCTGGGACCCTATGCCTTCAAGATCCCGCTGTCTATCCGCCAGAAGATATGCAACAGCCTGGACGCCCCTAACTCGCGGGGCAATGACTGGCGCCTGTTGGCGAAGAAGCTCTCCATGGACCGGTAAGTGCGGGGACACGGACCTGGCCACCTGGGTGTGCCGCGTCTGAGTCGCCCATTGATTGAGAGGCGTGGCACTCAGTGTGCTGGCCCGCGGCAGTCAGAGGGGGCCAGGCACCAGCCAGTGTGAGCACCGGCAGCACCCCGGTGCCCGGACGGAGCAGGTAGAGCAGAGACTGCTTGCCGACAGACCTTTCCAGGAGAACGTAACACGCTGGGTCAATGCAATGGCAAGAGTAGCCATTATCCTGATGTCATACTTGCTGAGAAACCACTTCATAGACCTGCATTGAGCAGATGCCAGGTTTACGACATCTTATTAGAAGTGGGTGGGGTTTACAAAGAGGTCTGAGGCTTTCTTCCTGCTCTCCGGAGCGCCCGGGGCCAATCGGGCAAGGTTGGAGGTAGGAGGAAGAGAGAATGGAGAGCGGGTTTCTACAGCCTGGACCCCAGTGTCTTTCAGTGTAATAATGAGATGATGAATGATGATGAACAAGACAGTTTCCATGTTACAGCCAAATTGACTAAAGCTCAGAGAGCTGTGGTGACTTGCCCAGGGCCACACAGCCTGCAAGCAGAGGAGCTGGGACGCACACCCAGGACTGTGGGACCCCAGAGCCCCCAGGCCTCCCCCCTCCTCGTGCTCTCCCCACTCCTCGTTTAGGGAGGGAGGTGTTGAGCTTTGGGGCAGCCCAGCACCCTTCTTCCCTCCGCCAGGTACTTGAACTACTTCGCCACCAAAGCGAGCCCCACCGGTGTGATCCTGGACCTCTGGGAAGCTCTGCAGCAGGATGACGGGGACCTCAACAGCCTGGCCAGTGCCTTGGAGGAGATGGGCAAGAGTGAGATGCTGGTGGCCGTGGCCACCGACGGGGACTGCTGAGCCGCCCGACTGCGGGCTGCTAGGGACTGGCAGAGGAGTGCAGGGAGGTCCAGGCACCTCCTGTGTGGCAGTTCACCTCCGCTGCCCCCCAGTTCACAGCCGGGGTCACCCTCCTCCTCCTCCCTTGCCCTACCCCAGATCACGACCAGCCTTAGGAATCCATGGACTCTGGTATTCCTCTTCCCCCCACCCCCCTCCCCACCCCACCATCTCTCCTGGCTCAGTCCTTCGTGCAGAAACCAGGGTGGGCTGAGGCCTCTGGAAACGGGAGTAAGGGGTGGCCCTCCCTCCACCCCGACCCTCTACCTGCAGCCCTGGTTTGTCTTTGTTTCGTTCTTGATTTTCTTCCTCAGCTAATGATTTCTCCCTGCTCCCTAAGCCCTCTGTCTTCACACCATTTTCCTCTTTGAAGATCAGTCAAGTCCACATGCTTTCTCCGTCCAAAAGCTAGAAGGAAAGGAAGCAAACTTGCTTCAGGAAGAAGAAAAACACCAAAACCACAAGGGAAAAGGAAAACCCAGTTTCTTAGGAAACGCAAATGATTTATTATCCAGGTATTTGGATAAGTCCTTTTTAAGAAAAAAAAGAGAAAAAGAAAAAACAACACAAAAAAATAGGAAATTCTTTTATTGAGTGTGGGTGTGCTCACAGTTCTGGCCAGGAGCCAGTGTGTGTGTGTGTGTGTGTGTGTGAGAGAGAGAGAGAGAGAGAGAGAGATTGAGCATGGAGCACTGTGCTGCTGCTGACCCCATCGTGGACTGATTTTTACAAGGCCTCCGTATCCCCAGTTGTAAAGGCTCAAATCGTACACGTTGCTCTAAAGTCTTAAGCAGACGCTGCACACAGACAGCCAAGGCGCTCTGGAGTGGGGTGAGGTGGGGCTCTCCCTCCACGTCCCAGGCAGACACCCCCCCCTCCCCCCCGGGCTCCTCTGGGCCCTGAGATGGAATATGTGGGCCACCCAGGCCAGCCGTGCGCCTTGGAGATGGTTTCCAGCACCAGGATCCGGTGGCTCCTGGGAGGGGGTGTGGCCCGGAAGCGGGGCCCTAGCAGAGAAAGGTGTGGGAGATGAGCCCCCTCTACTCCACCCGAGGGTGGGGCCAGCCAGGGCCCCCTCCCAGCAGCCTCCGGAGCAGGTTGGCATTCTCCTGAACCCAGGCGTCCAGGAGGCACCCTTCCCCAGCCTGTTTCTCTTCTGTAAGACAGAGGGGTGATGAGAGGGCCTCGTGAGCAGCACAGCCTGTCTGGGCCTCGGTGTGGCTTTGAGAAGCGTGTGGGCAGCAGCCCTGCAGCGGGTGATGGGAGTGGGTGGCCCGCCTGCGCAGGACATGCTCTCTGCCCGCCCCGTGGAGGAGAGGGTTGAGGGCGCTTTCCCAGCTCTGGTCTCCCAGGCACCTCCCTGCCTCCTCCTCACCCTCCCTCTGCTCTGGGAGATCCTGAGTAGGTCACCTTCGAACAGGAAGGGCTGCCAGAGTGGAGGGCTGCACCCCCTCACCAGCCTGGACCGGGATGTCCTGAGGGGCCAGCAGGGTCCCGACTCGGGGAGGGACCCATCCCGGGCCCTTGGCAGCTGACGATGGCTGGGATCAGGCTCCTGCAGCTGGCACGGAGACCTCATCAAAGGCCTCTCCTTGGCACCCGGGCAAGGCAAGTGCCAGCTCGCCAATAGCTCCAGGCACTGGCCCCGTGGCTTGCCCCAGCAGGCCCAGCTGCAGCCGCCGGGACCAGCCTGGGCACCGCCTCGCCTTTGAAAGGATGCTTTAGGGCTGCAGTCCAGCCAGCGTCCCCAGCCTGGCTTCCTGCCACCTCAGGGTGGGGGTCGGCTGTGGGCAGATGAGGTCCTGCTCCGAGTTTGAGAGAGGAGTCCCTGTGTCGGGACTGAGGGGGACAGGCCTGCCTCAGGCTGGGGCCCCGGCTCCTGACCCAGGGCCCAGGTGCTGCTGCCTCCCTGGGGCTCAGCCTCCCTGGTCACTCCCAGCCCACACTAGGGGGCCTGCGTGACAGCGAGGAGCTGGCAGCATAACCAGTGCCACCAGGCTTCACGGTGCCCTTCCCATCACCGGCTCTAGAATGGCCTTGGGCACCTGCAGCCCCAGGCCAGCACTCAGCCTTCAGCTGTGCCGTGGAGCCGTGGGACCTCGGGCATATGGCTGCCTGCTCTGGGCCTAATTTCCTCTCTGTACCTGGAGGGCCCCGCAGCTGCTGTTTGAGGCTGTGGGCTCTGACGCCATCATTCTAGGCTTTGGGTGGGAACCCCGGTGGGTAGACATTCTGTGCTCCGCCTGCCCCAACCCACCCTCAAGCTTGCTCAGTGCCTGGGACAAGAGCTCTTTGTGGAGGAGGCCAGGCCACCTGTTTCTAATCTGATTTCTGGAAATTATGCCCCAGGGCCTGGCGCCCAGAACCCATTGGCTGGGGCCTCCTGGGAAGGCTCACCGCCCGGCTCTGTAAGAAAAGCCAGGGAGGTGTTTTCTGGCTCCGCCAATCTACCGAGGCTGCTGTGCCTGCTCCCACGCTGCCCGCCTCAGGTGGGAGCGAGGCAGCCCCACGTGCCCAGGTGCGCTGAAAGCAGCAGGTTAGGTCTCACTGCGGGGCCTGTGTGGCCCTCACGTGGGCATCTCTGTCTCTCTCATCTCGGTATGTTTGTGCTCGCGCATGTGTGTGCGTGTGTGTGCACGTGCTGTGCGTGTGTGTGTGCGCGTGTGTGCACGTGCTCTGCGTGTGTGCTTTTATTCACACGGGCACATCAGGGCTCCCCTCCGGAAGCGTGTCCCCACTCGCAGGAGTGTGCCCTCCTCGAGCCCCCCGTTGGGACATGCAGAGGCTGGCGTGCCTGTTTGCTGCCCCCTCTGAGTCCACAGGGTCCGTCGGTGTATCTTCTACGTGCCTCTCCCTCTGCCCTCTCGTGAAGTGCCCCGGGGTCGAGTCCGGGCCAGGGGTCCTTCTGAGGGCACGAGAACCTGCCCATCTCCCGGATGATCCAGGGCCCGCGGCCCCCTCCCCCCACACTGGCAGCTGAGCCAGGTCCCTTAGCAGGTCCCCTGAGGGGAGGTGATTCAGGAGCTCGGGGTCAGGGAGCAGCTCTCCTGGGGGCAAAGGGCTGGACCCCCTGCCTGGGCCGCATCCGGGGGCTGCAGGGCTGCAGGAATGGCCCCCATCCCACCTGTTTATTCTGTAAACTACAGCCTGTAAATAACATTTAGCATTCCTATTGTAACAAAATTAATTTTTATGAAATAAATTATATTTCCTAGTCTAATAAAAAAACAAAAACAAAACCTCCAGTTATAGTCTGCTGTCTTCTGGACTGTCTTCCTCTCAGCAGCTGGGAATGACCTTCCCACTTTTCCCAAAATTCCGGGCATTTCAGGGGTGAGGAGGTCACTGTCAGGCCTCTGAGCTCCTGGAAACGATCAAGCTCAACTGCCTCCTTTTACGGAAGGGAAAGCTGGCCCAGAGAGGTACAGGGACTACCCCGTGGCCACACAGCAAGTTCAAGCCCGGATCTCAGACCCCATCCCCCACCCCCACCCTCAATCAATGCTCTCCGTGCAACGGCAGTGTGTGCAGGGGTCGGCCCCTGAGCCTTCCGTGGACTGGAGGTGTGCAGGGGGAGCCCCAGTGCCCCGTCTGCCTGTGGAGCTCAGCCGGGCTGGGGCTGAGCCGTCAGTTCAGAGCACTGGCCTGGGACAGGAGAAGTCGTGCAGCAGAAAAGGGGTGACGAGTGGGCTGGGGCCGGGTGACTGGACCCGGGGCAGCCTTGCCTGCGTGGGCGGGTTACACACTGGACGGGAATACCTCAGATGGGGGAGGGGGTGCCCTCCCACGGGGGTTGTAGGCTTGAGTATTTACGAGAAGTTTCCAGCAGGCGGCAGGAAAGGGTCCTGTTCTAACAAAATCTCACTGGAGCTTCATTTTCCCGCTGATGGGAGTGTCTTGAGGGGGCTTTTCTTTCTAACGTGCTGGTTTCAGCTGGTCCCCCCTGCCCTGTGGACCCCAGGCCTCTGGGGGTGGGTCTGGCCCCAGCATCCCCCAGCATGCACTGCCTGCTCTGTGAGCGGGTTCCGTGGTCCTCGTTCATGGCAGGAGACACCGTGTTCACCAGCACGTGACAGGCTCCGAGAAGTCATGCCTGAAGCAGCCGGCTTCCTCACATCAACACGGGGTGTCCCAGGTGCATTGGGCCATGGAACCCCTTGTTATGCTCTGAAGTACGTGGTACCTCTGGGCCCGGCCAGCTCTGACTCTGGGACCTGTGTCTGGGGTGTGCCCAGGTACCACCTGCTGTCGCCTGGGGGTAGGAGCACCTGTGGGCTTGTCCTCTGGGGACGTAGGGCCTAGCGGGGCGGGCACAATGTTTGCACAGGCACACACAGCCCACCCGCTCAGACTCCTCACTCCCTGCTTCCCCGGCCGCCACGGTCCGGTGGGTCAGTCAGGAGGGAGGAGAGGGAGGGGACAGCATGTGTGTCTGTCTGTGTGAAGGTAGGCATGGCCAGTAGCCGGAGGTGGGAGCAGCAGCCCAGGGAGGGGGCGGCAGAGTCAGGTGGGCCAGTAGCTCCCACAGGCAGTTGTCTGGGGTCCTCCCAGGAGTGACAGGTGCCCATCTACACCCCCTAACCCTCGGCCCCCACCTAAGCACGAGGGCCCCTCCTTGTCACCTGCCCCTTGGTGGGATTCACAGAGTTCTGGCCTGGGAAGCAGGGGACCTGAGTTTATCTCTGATTCTGTGAGAGTCACTGTCCCCTCAGCCTCAGTTTCCCCAGCCACGAAGTGTGGGTCTTAGACCTGCAGCTCTGCAAGGGCCCTCTGGCTGGAGTCCCGCAATTTAGGGGGCGCTGGTTCTAGGACGGGTGTGACAGCCCCACCCCTCGGGCCCTCCTCTGTCGCAGTCCCAGGAGTAGATACAGAAGAACCAGTTAGGAGCAAAAGATGGGCTGGTTCCGATCCTGTGACCGAGCGGCTGCCCAGTGAGGTGGCAACGCTGGCACACCTGTCCAGCCCGTTGGCCGGCGGCCCAGCCCGCAGCTCAGGTCACCAGCTGTTGCCCGTGAAGGGCTGCTGGGTGCGCTGGGCAGCCGGCTGCCCCCTCCTCCACTAGAGGCCTTAAGAGAAAATCCATTTCAACCCACTTTAAGGTCAGACTTAGGAAAACCTCGTGCAGTCCTGTTTAACAACATTTTTTAAAACTTTCACCCATTTTAATTGAAAAGATCATACATGCCTATGGTGTTAGAAAATTCAAAAGGTACAAAAGAATAGATGAAAAGACAATTCCCTC